TTGGGTAAATGAGATAAAGTACGGTTATACATGTTCTCAACTTCCTGTTCATTCGAGTTCATCAGAGTATAAGTAATACCACCCGGAAAACTGGCCACGGTGTGCGTTTAATAAATGCGTAGAACAATAATTATAATTTATAACGGTACAGTTTAATTACATAGATTCTGATGAGATGCCAAATCAGTAACGCTTTCATCATTGAGGAGTGACTGATAATTTAAGGGGATGTGATTATGTTTTGTGGCTGCAAAACCTTTCTCTGGTACGAAAAAAAAAATAATGAAAATTTATCGACAGGTCGGTTCAGAGCTTGTAGGTTAAAGAGGAAGTTCGAAGGAAATTATGGACTAATTACGTTTTTGATATATATTTTTTTATTTATTCAATCCTTAAATCTTTAAATAATAACAACCATAAATAAACTTCAATTCATCGTTTCGTCGTAAAAGTCATTAATTTCCCCCTCCGTTTCAGCTTATAGTTCACAAGATAATATAAAAGAAGATATTATTAAAATTAAAATTGAAATTTATTCAAGATAATTTCTCCAAGGTTATTTTTTTTTATCTACTATTTAATACAAAACCTCCACTATACATTTCTTTATATTTTACATTATTATATATATATATATACACATTATCAATTTTATTTTATAACCAATTTTATTTTTTTAATAATAATTACAACTTGATTGCAATAATCAGCAACATCTAAAGGTCAGTGCCAATCATAGGGCAGACCTCGGAAGGGAGGGAGTAAGAGGGCGTTCGCCACCCCAATAAAAACGTTAAGGGAGCGAGAATATCGTTTTGCCCTCGGCCAATAATTTGAGGTAATAAAAAATTAAAATAAATAATAAATAAGCTACATGAATGAATAAAATGTGTAAACTAAAATAAATTTTAAAAGTCGACTAGGGCCGACTATTTTATTGATATCTAAATGTTTAAATATTTAAAAATATTTATTAAAAAATAAATAAATAAATGCGAAATTGGATTCAGTGGGTGTTTTTAGATAGGTATTGATACTTATAACGATTTCGATAATAATCGATTAGGATTCATTTTGGAATTGAGCGACTCAAGCGGCAGATTACTCTGAAACTAAAATAAATAAACAAATAAAGCCTCTTTATAGCTCTATTAGATGACAACACCAAATTGACATTGGGTAAGCGCGAAGTTGTAAAGGTCAGAAGTACCAGTGTGACGACATCATTAGCGGATCTGTCATCACGACTTAACAACCTCTGAAGAGGTTTGACAAGAACTTAGCTATTTTCAGTTAAGGCGCCAACAAGCGAGTCTCCCCATAAAAACCGTAATCAAAAAACATATTTCATTGCAATTATTTGAAGTTTCAAATCGCAATTATTCACTTTATTACTATCATAAACGTGATGTAAAATATTCAAGAAAAATCGATAACACTTCAAAGTTGCTTTATATGCATTGACTTCGTATACCATGCCTCTGGAACAACATATAGTGAATTAGTTGTGTGATATTCAAGCAAAAGTTTTTTAAAATTACATTTATTTCCTTCTCTTTAGGAAACCCACTTTATTCCTTAATTGATTATCACAAATAATAATTAATGAAGTATATAAACTTCAAAAGTAACTATCAGAAAAAATACGTTCTAATAGCTTTTAAATATTCATCATTATGTAAATAGGCAAACACAAAATGGTTCAGCCCCATTTTCTCCTCTATTATTCAATCAATTTTTTTTTTAATAGCTATTGACGAGCTTTACTGTTTTCAATAAATAAAAACATTAAATAGTATGTAAACAAAAATATAAATTGTAGTTTGTTCGGAACGGCTTATCCCCGTAAGTTCTTCACAGATTTCTCTGAAATTTTGACACAACGTCGCAATAATACTTAGAAGTGTTTTTTATAAGTTTCATTATCATCAGGCCTTTCCTTTCGAAATTGCGGCCGAAAAACGTGATTCGCTTTAGGCTGTAGCGCCAATACGATTTTAATGAAGCTTGGCGAAAGTCTTCCTCTTGAACATTTATAATTTATGTATATAACATACTTTCCGAAAACTAGCTGCATACATTTGGATGGCGAATTCAGTATTTTAATCGCAAATAACTCAAAAAGTACACATTGTTTCATGTATAATACCAATATTTATTTTAAATCTTTCTAAATTCCCTACAAAATAAAAAAAAAAATCATCGAAATCGGACTATTTGTTGCAGAGATATATCATTTTAAACATTAAGTACTTTTTTCTATTACAAAGTCGATTTCCATTATTTTGGTTTTTGATAAATCGAAATTTTTTCATTTAATGAAGTAATCGGGACTATTATTTGAAGAGATGATATCATTGAATGTTAGTGGAATGTTACCTTATAAATTAAATTTAAAAATAAATTCTATAGTTATACTCACTGTTAACTTAAATACTGCACAAGCATTAGTTAATGGAACACGAATGAGAGTGAAGTACTAACGGAAGCTACTTTAAATAAAAGAATTTTAATTCCAAGAATTAATTTAATATTTTCCGTCTCATACAAGACTGAAACGACAAGAAACTGCTAGACGATGTCAGCTACACAAACACTTACTGGATAAGCTCTCTAAACTGCCAATAAACTATAAAACTAATTTAATTGACCATTATAAGGCCTCTTTGGGCTTATAGAATTGAGCTTTTGGATACCACTAAACCATCAAATTCCTTTGTACCTAAAATCCTTCGCAAAATCCTCATGTTCCTTACTTGTCAAGAATAAAATTATCTAAAATTTCACCTTAATGTCCCTTATGTTGGCGATTAAGCCCAATCCAGATACCAATCCTTCCATAACAAACTTTAAGCCCATCCGAATCCACCAGTTTCTTTGCACCTTTGCATCCTCCACGATACTTTACAACCCTCCTAGATGTCCAACAGAAGATAATATCGATACCTTCTAATATAGAAATACAAGTTCTACCAATGAATATATGAATATCAAGTTTGTACATGTCGACACGAAAATAAAATCTTAGTGACACTATTTTGCTAATCTTGCCATTTTTATTTAAAATTATAAATGGTTTCTTTTTTAGCACGCTTGGATGTTAATGACAATCCCGACTTTGTTCGAGAAACTAGACCAGGTATCATAAAATAGGTTGAAGATTTGATATGAAATATTATACTTATTGGGAGTACACCATCGCCAAAATATCCCTTTAGTATATTAAAAAAAGTATTAAGAGACATTCCAACTTATTGATAGGTACTATATTAAACTGAAGAACCGTGTATATTTATCATCGATCTTATATTTATATTTCAATATCGGTGAAGGGCCGGTGACAAGGGAAGACTATATATAAACGGACAGACTACAGATGGCACTGATGCCCGGACGATAACAGCTGGATGGGGGGGAGGGTGTCGCTTTTTATCCCTCCCCTTGTTTTATTTAAACCCCCTCCTCCCTCGGCATCCGTATTCACCGCTTTATCTCTTCTCCTTCATTATTTTATTTTACTTTCTCTTTTATATGTTTCCATGCCGCTGCATAGAGCCTTTTCAATATTAAACACCGCGATGAAAAAGCATTACGGGATAAGTGGTATACTCAGCGAACTTCTATCCCTCAAGTAGCACCTCTCCAACTCCCTTTATAGAAAAAAAAAAGTTTTGTTTTAAAAAGGCTCAGGAAATGACCCCTCCGCCCCTTTCCCCCTCAGAGCAAGTTGGAAAACAAACAATTCCATTAACAGAAATACTTTCTTTTGCCGATTCATGCACGGAACGACGTCCGCATCGAGCAGATAAAAAGTGAGTTATCAGTGGCTCAAAAATTTTGAATCTTCCACCACATAGATATCCAAAAATATTAGCACTACAGATAATTAAAAAAGAAATCGCATGGTTTAGGGACTTACTCAATCCACTAGCGGATCCAGGATTTATTTTTGGGGGGGGGGGGGCTTCAGCCCGAAAGTTTTTTTTTTCATAAAAATAACGATAATTACTTTGGAAAAAAAGAAAGAAACTAACTACCTGTATGAAATGGTGTTTAAGTTATTCCTAAAGCCCTTTTAAATGTAATTACATGAATAATAATACTTTAAGAGATACTTTTTAAATATTTTTTTCGATAAAACATGGTTATATTTTACCATTTTTGGGGGGGGGCTTCAGCCCGAAAGTCACCCCCTCCCCCCAGTAGATCCGCCCGTGACTCAATCTGATAAAATCGCATGGATTAAATTTCAATTTAAATCGATCTACCTGTGATGATGCTAAACTATGGAGAGCTAATTTATATTTACTAAGAACTCAAATTCAGAAAGATATATATATATATATATATATATATATATATATATATATATATATATATATATATATATATATATAATCAATATGTAATTAAAGTTCAGAATTCAAAAACTTTCACTTTTTATCCTCATTCAACTTGAGCAAATTATATTGATGACAAAAGCTCATTGAAGGTGATCAGATGGGTAATTAAAATTAGAGCTAATGTTTTGAACTTAAATTATAAACACTTCCAGCAAACAAATAATAATTTAGCATGTGTAATATAAACAAAACAGAAGATCTATATCACCTCTTGGCTGCTTATCCGATACTCTCTGAATTTATAATTAAATGGTTAAAGTCTAAAAATTTATCTCGGGATAAAGTAATAGATTTATTAAATGGAGACAATTGGATAGCGTTGGTAAATTACTGCAAGTCCGCTTTCTCCTGTAGAATAATGCTCGCCAAAGAATTTAACAATTACTAAATAAATTGGAGAATTTTGGTACCAATCCTTTTGCAATTAAAATGTTTATATAACTTTTACATTTTAAATATAATTGTAAATATTTTCTTATTAATTAGTTGTATATAAATAGATTAAAATATAATTTTGTTATAAAACACAGACTCCTCTGATGGTCAACAGACCATGTAGCACGTCTGATTTTCGGTTTTAAATCCAAAAATATTATTTTATATTGTTTTTATAATTTGTATGTTGTAATTTTGATAAATAAAAAGACTTTTTCTTCTTCTCAGTGATACAACCCCTAGAAAAATAATTCAATGGTTACAGTAAATAAAATAAACAAAATAAATAAATAAAACCAGGAACTCTTCAACAGATTTATTTATTTTTGTTTATTAGGCACCTTAGCTAAACTTTGTAATTGATGTCTTAGTAAGTTAAATGGATGTAAATCTAATTTATATATATATATATATATATATATATATATATATATATAAAACTTTACAGTTAAGCCATAAAATATATCTTTATTGGAACAAACAAGAACGTTGTCCAAAAATAAAATAAATTAAAAAAAAACCAGTAAATTATCTATCTACAAATTATGTTTGGTTACCTAATAAATATTTGTTATTTTAATTTCATAAAAAAAATTTGCATTTTTATTATCACAATAAGTAAAACTTTATTGATGTATATACTGATCGATTTTTTTATTTAAATTAGTTTTATACAATAACGCTCTTTAAAATCCTCCTTTGTCCATTGGGAATTGTTTCGGTTCGCTGGACCATCCAACCCTACGTTTTGTACCCCTACATCAGTGCAACTCATGCCTGCTTTATTACTCAACACACTGAAATTATAGCAAACTAATATTGAATAAAATATGATTTAATAATATTATATTAAGTATTCTTCAATTCCTCAACATGCATTTTAAAGTGAAGCTATTGTGGTTATAGTCCGTTGGACAGACCCCTTTTCATCAAATTATTAACATCCGCAAAAAATCTCGTAAATAGTTTCATCACATCATATCCTACAAATATTTTATTTACGAAATCGTATGACCACAAAATCGAAAAAAAAAAAGTGGCTTACAAAAATATTGGGCCGTTTGGCTTATATAACCTCGTTTTGTTGATATTTTAGGGGTCGAGGTCGCGCCGAACGGCTCAATATTTTTCTAGGCCACTTTATTTTTCGATTTTGTGATCATATTATCTTACGATTCAAGTGGAAAGCAAATAGGTATTCATGAGATTTTAGTATCTGATTAAATAGAAAAAGTTTGCCGATCTACAGATTAAAAACGCCCCAATTTCGAGAACTTTCGTAAATAAAATATTTGTAGTTTACGATGAGATGAAGCTATTCACGAAGTTTTAGACGGATGTTAATAATTTTATTTAAAAAAGTATTTCTTTTCAATAATGCTTTTTTCTGCAATCCAGAACTTAACTTAAAAAATAACTTTGCAAACCACTTGTATTTTATCAATAATTTAGAACACTGAAGTTAACCAACCAAGAAATATATATTTTCTCATCTTGAGTTGTTAAAAAAAAACCTCTAGCACACAGCCTTAATACTGCAGATAGGTGTTTTAAAAAGGATAATATTACTTTGAGAGCTAACTATCAAAGTATATTTATTTTAACAGCTGGCACCAATAACGTCATCAACACATTATCAAAATCCGTCAACTTTACTTCAACATTTTATTACAGTTATATGTTGAAATCTAAAAGTTCTCTTTGTTACAATTAATGACACGTTTTCATTAAAGCGTTTAAAGATGACACTAAAAGCATCTAAACAATTATACGTTAAAATCAACATGAAACATTGAACTTTCACGGGTTAATTATAACAACTAAAAGTGCCAATATGGTTAATAATTAAAATGTATGATTTATTCTAAAATATAATATAATATAATACTTCCTGATGATCATGATCGAAATGGAGTTTATGAGACAGGAATCCATTTAGTAAAACCATTAACAAAATAACGAATCTATTACAAACGTTTCAATCCGGTATCTTGATCTGGACTGTTACATTCAACACATTAATGAGTTCAGTCTAAGCCCAGTTCTAGCCAAATTGCAATCTCAAATTGAAAATGGAGTCCTTCGTTCTCAACTGAATCTCAAAGCTGATTTATTACGTAATTATCGCGGAATCGCTGATAAATGGCAATGATTTAAATTGTATTGTAGGAAATAATTATTCAACAATAGAGGTTTATAAATTTTAAAGGAGAAATAATATATATATTTTTAATTTCTTTATTAATTTATATTACATTTCCTCACAATCAAGGACATTAATAATAGTGATAAAAAAGAAGTAACTGTGATAGTAAAGGTAGTAGTAATACAAATTTATTATATTGATGACGAATCAAAAAAGCTAATTAAAGTTTAAAAATGAAAAAAAAAATGTGTATATATATATATAAGTTAAGCGACGGCGGACTCTAACAATAAAAAAAAAGAAAGGAAAGGGCTTGAAATGCAACACTCACGGTTTCAGAAAAGATACTCATTTATTCCTTTAGTAATCCTCCTTATATACATTTCATATGTTTATTTACATTCAGGACGGTATTAAGGCTGATATCGCCGGTCTCCGGTCTTTATCTCCCCCCCACCAGTTTACGAATAGGATTTTTCGGAAACTTAGATATTCCTAGATCGGAGCTAACGATTATCAGTCTTAACACCTTACAATTGTTTTTACAAGTATAAAGTTGAAAGAAAGTAAAACTCACTCGAGACATACAATAATACAAAGAAATAATAAAAAAAACAGAACTAAACACAACACTTGCTTCCAAAAACAGAACTCTTAAAATCCTAAAAAAAACAGAGAAGAAAAAAAAAAAAAAAAATAATACACTTTCCTCTACTGTATTGCTATGATTCTATTTACACATAAAAAAAAAAAAAAAAAAAAAAAATACACCATATTGTTGCTTAGACAACCAAAAAAAAACATACTTGTTATAACGTGGTGAGGGTACTACGAATCCGTTATTTTATGTTCCGGTTCTATCATTGGGAGCTTCAATTGTTCAATGTGAGCCGTTCTCCTCTTTCTAGGTTCATTAACGCTTTCGATCGTTAGTAGATTATGCTCCCTAATAGCAATCACTCTGAATGGACCCTCGTATCGTAACAATTGTTTCCCTCTGTTGGTCCCTACTCTACGGTACACTATTGTCCCGATCTTTAGATCACCCATTTGGTCACGTACGCGAACATTCTGCCTCTCTACCCGCTTCTCCTTTTCCCGCTTAATTTTCGCCGTTACTCTTCCCCACGTCTTTTCCATCTCCACCCTATTGCTCTGGATTTGCTCGACTAATGGTTCATTAACCGTTGTTTCCCCGCAATCTCGCCTTGGCCTGCGCATCCCGAATAGTACTTCCACGGGCGAAAATCCCGTGACGGAGTGAATCGAGTGGTTGTAGGCTGTTACCGCTTTCTTCATTGCAACATCCGGCTCCAACCCTTTTTCCCCCTGATACACCCGGATGTGATCACTCAGCGTGCTGTGCAACCGCTCAATGCCGCCTCTACCCTTAGGATGTCCCGGGGTGTTATAATGCCAACGAATCCCTAGTCGTTTCACCTCCTCCCTAATCGCGGCATTGTCAAACTCCCTACCACCGTCCGATGTGATCCTCTCGGGGACCCCGTAGAACTGCACCCAGGTTTGTAGGGCTTCCGCAACTGCGTTGGCAGACTTGTCCATGACCTGGTGTGCCATAGCTACCTTGCTAAAGACGTCGATGACCGTGACCCACTTGAACCCTCTCCAGGTAAATGTATCAATCTGGAGGTCCTGTAGTGGCATATTCCCCGTCGGTGTCTCTTCCTGAATCCCTCTGGGGGGATGTCGATCATATTTCGTGCGCATACACACCTCGCATTTCCCTATGACCTCTTGGATGGATTTTTTCATGCCCCACCAGAAATACTTTCGACGTAATGCCTGCAGTGTCTCGTTCACGCCTCGGTGGTTGGTTTTCCCCTGGTGATAAGCTAATGTGACTGCCTGTTGCTGTTCCTCATCCTGTATAGTTTCCACTGCGTACTTACAACGGATGAGTGTTCTGTCCACACCAATTCGCTCGGATCTCCACATCCGCTTTATTTTATCCCATACCGTGTTATTCCCCACATAAAGATGGTGCGTCTTTCCAGGTTCCGTGGCGTCCTTCAGTGCCGTACAAATTTGCTCTTCACTCACCCCGGGTTGCGACCAGATGACGCGAATCTTGCTTTTCCCATATCTTCGATAATCTATTTTCATCATCCCTGCTACTCTCGTTTTCCAGATTACCTGACGATGCTTGTCATTGATGATGTCGTCTATCTCCTCCATTTCCACTGCTCTTTCCTCCGCTGAGCTCTCCTCTTCCGGGGACTCTCCCCTGTCATCTATACCGACGATATCCTCCGCTCCTTCGCCGTCGGGAGTCCATTCACTCAAGAATTGGCGCACGTCTCGCGATGGTCCTCCCCCGTCCTCTTCTACCGCGTTGATCATGATGGCCCTCGAGAGCCAGTCCGCCACCACGTTCTCCTTTCCCGGCTTATACACCACCTCTATATTGTATTGACTAAGGACTTCCTTCCATCGCGTGACCCTAGCTGAGGTTTCTTTAAGTTTCCCTACCCACTGCAGGGGTTTGTGGTCGGTGTGGACTCGGAACTTCCTCCCAAATACGTATGGCCTGAAATGGTCGATAGCCCACACTATCGCGAGTAGCTCCCTCTCCAAAGCGCTGTATCGCGATTCCGCACCCGTAAGCCGACGGCTCGCGTATGCTATCGGTCGTTCACCCTCACTCCCCCCCTGGGACAAAACGGCCCCTAACGCGTATTCGCTCGCATCGGTGGTTATATTAAAGAGCTTCTCAAAATCCGGGAACGCTAACACCGGCTCTGTCAGCAACCTATTCATACATTTTCGGATATTATTCTCCATCTCTGGTGTCACCACAATCTTCGCGCCTTTCTTCAGCAAATTGTTAATGGGTACCAAATACTCTGCCATCTCAGGTACGAATCTCCGGTAGTAGTTCAGCGTCCCAAGAAGCCTACGGATCCCCTTCACGTCCCGTGGTACCGCCATCCTTGTGATCGCCTCCACCTTTGCCGCATCCGGTCTGACCCCCTCGCTAGAGATAGTGTGGCCTAAAAAATTAATCCGCGTTTGTCCCAGCAGAGACTTCTCGCTTGATAATTTCAGCCCGAATTTCCGTAGCCTCTCGAATACTGACCTCAGATGTCCCACGTGTTCGGTTTCCGTTCTGCTAAAAATCAGCAGGTCATCCATATATACCTGACATACCGAGTCATCGATACCCCTCAAAAATTCGTCCATCAGACGCTGAAATGTTATGGGCGCATTCTTCAGACCAAACGGCATTCTTGTGAATTCGTAATGCCCCCTTTCGAATGTGAACGCTGTTTTGTGTTGGTCTTCCGGGTGCATCCGTATTTGGTGATATCCCGCCTTAAGGTCCAACGTGCTAAAGACCACGGCCCCACTCAACCTATCCAGTATATCTTCGAATCTGGGGATCGGGTACTTCTCGTCTACCGTGTTATCGTTCAATTTACGATAGTCTACCACCACCCTGTATTTTTCCTTATTATCCCCCGGTGCTGCCTTCTTCTTCACCGCCCACAGGGGACTATTGAATGGTGAGGTGCTATCAACTATGATCCCTTGTTCTTTTAGACTGTCTAGCTCCTCTCGAATATGCTGCCTCAACGCCTGCGGGTATCTTCTCTCTTTCACGTAAGTTA